GATACCCTCCCCTGTAGTACGAGTCTTTGATCTATTTCCTATCAGACCCATTTCTCCCTCTTCTCTTGCTCTGCTCTATATATATTTCAGAAGAGCTGGCTGGCCCTGTAGGTGGCGTTTTCCAGCCTCCATGGGCAGTTGTCTCTCCCTGGCTTCAGCCCCATAGGAAGCACTGTGGAGAGACTGGAGGGTGAAAGGCAGGGAAATTTAAGGCCTCGTCTCCCCCAACCCCACTCTCTCCACAGTGTCTCTGTCAGCAGTTGTATCTCCCTTATGGCTTCAGCTAGAGCAAAGCAGGTCTGCGGTGGTGGCAGCTTCTGCCTGCTGACCTGGGCCCCCTGGGCTCTGGTAACAGTGCCCCTGACTTTGTCCCTTTGGCCTAATGGCTTCCTGCTGTGGCTAATGCCTGGGTTCCCCCAGTGTCTTCTGTTTACTTTTTAGCTTTTTGCTGTTTGCTCCCATTTCCTGTATAATCAAATTTTTGGATTAAATTCCTTCTGTTTACTCCCAGAATTTGTATATTTTCCTGAGTGGACCTTGACTGATACACTTCCCGTTACTGACTGATGCTTGGGGTGTAGACCTTTGTTGGGAGAGGGATACAAAATCCAGGCGACCTGGTAAATATGGAATAGAGCAATCCAAATCCCCAAGGCTGGTATAATTCAGAGCAGACAAGTCTGGCCCGTACAGATGGGGCATGAGACTCAGAAACGAGATGCCTGCATTCTGTTTTACCATTTCCTCTGGTTTGCGTACATGAGGCAAACACTGCTTTAGACCTTGAAAGCATATTCAATACCAGTTGTGAATATAACAATGTAATAATATTTCTAATGTAGTTCTATATCAGCAGTAGTATGACCAATAATTTAGAAATGTATTTTTTACATGCACAAAAAATAATTTTAGTAAGAATAGGGAGAAGCAATTCATAAAAATATTGCCAAGGATCGCATGGGAGAAAAAATCCTGCACAATGAAGCCCCCTCACTTGGGAAGTCTGAATTCTTTTAAACACATCTCTTGTGATTTGTATTATTGAAATCTCTGATTAACGACGCTGCTGCTGATGGCATAACAAACCACCTTTACTATGTTCACGAGAATTGCAAGACTGGTGCTTCACCTGCCACCCCTACCACCTCATCTGGGGGCCACGTACGTTAGCTCTTTTCTAGTATAGATGACCTTTGTTTTGAAAATATAACTTAATATACACAATTATTTTATAAACTCACGTACATAAGAAGTCAGAGAAGTACCTTTGCTCAATATTGCTTGCTGTGAACCTAAAACTGCTCTAAAAATAATCTTAGAAAAATCAAAGAATGTGGAAATATGCAGGGGAAAAAGCGAGACCAGCTCCTTTAGAGTCTTTCTTCCACCACCTAATTGCCAGCTCCATAGGTAACAGCTGTCAGGTATGTCTCCTTATATACCCTTGTGTATGCATATTCACACTTACGTATATGCGCTTAAAATGACATACTGGTAAGTGGAAGGATTTTTCATATTGTCCTGGGCTTTGCTTTTTTAAGTCAACAGTGTATCTTAGAAGTCTCCCTTAGTTTATATAAATCTGTCTGCATTCGTTTTAGCAGTTGCATGGTATTCTGTAGCATGGATGAACCATACTTTATTTCACTATATCTCCATTAAGTTTAGTTTTAAATTGCTCATAAAAACTGTATTGTTTTGTGTTTTAAGGAATGTCATTGTAATTATTTTATAGACATTTCTGTCCAGTGTTCTGTAGGGTAGAGTCTTGAAAGTGAAATTGGTATCTGCATTTGAAATATTGATAGATGCTGTATTGCAAAGGATATTATAAATTTATATCACGACCTATGGTGTATGTAAATGTATAGGTGTAGATATAATCCTGACTTTTGCCAACACTGCATGTTTATCAGCTTGATCACTGCACTGTACACCTGAAGCTGATGTTTTATAATATTATATGTCAACTATAATTGAATATATATATATATAGTCACGGGATGTGGAGTATAGTGTGGGAGTGAAGTCAAGGGAATTATAATAGATATGTATGATATCCAGTGGGGGAGGGGAATGGGGCAGCAGATTGGGGGAAGGGTGTTGCCACTTAGAGGGGCAAAAAGTATAACTATTGCACTGTGTTGTACACCTGAAACTAATTTAAAAAAGAAATAAAATAAAAACAAATACTTTATTGCTAAAAAATGCTAACCATCATCTGAGCCTGTGGGGAAAATGGTGCTGATAGGCTTGCTCAACACAGAGCTGCCACAAACCTTCAATTGGTAAAAAATGTAATGGCTGCAATGTGTAATGAAGAGAAGCACAATAAAACAAGGTAAAACTGTAAAAAAAAGAAAGGCACTTTGAATGTAGGTAGATATACAGCACCTGTGAAAATATTGGGGCTGAAATATTTACACATTTTAATATAAAAAATAGAGTTGAGAATATCCTTCATTTAGCAGAATTTTCTCTGAACTTATAGGCTCATCAACATCATGTTGCAACCTTCCCCTGAACAACATCCTGTCTAGTTAAAGGGGCTCTGACTCATTTTGTGTGTTTTATGGTTTCTATCTGAGTACTTCTCTATTCTAGTGCTTTCAGGGCAGGGACAGGGGCACAGTCATTGGTGCATGTAACAACTACCCTACTTGGAATCCAGCCTTTCTCTGTGGGATGGCTGGTATTCCTCAGCCTTGTGAAAGGAGACCCCAGAGATATGCTAGTTATCAGCCCCCTGATAGAGGAAGCTAAAAACATCCACCAATTCTGGATGTCGATAAAGCGCCAACATTCTCCTAACAGAAATTCATTCTTTGCTCTTCTCTGTCTCTGCCTTAGGTGCAGCTCGTGTATACAACCAACATCCAGGAGCCCAATGTCTACAGGTATATTTTTAAATCAAACACTTTAAAAATTAAAGTTATTGGATAACTGTTATCAGTCTGTGTTTGGACAATGATTTGCTTAGGTCTCCTACTACCCTCCTCCTCTTTTCATAGTCTTTGGGCCGAGGTGGAATTCTGCCAAGCTGGCTCGGCAGCTTCCCAAGGTGCCTGGTTTCTAGATGGGCGTTCAGGCTGATGGGCTCTGCTATTTCCTTCCCCACCTGAAAAAATGTAAATAGTTCGAATCATCACAGATGTTTGGACCTGGCTATTTCCAGTCACAAAAGAGAATACACCAAAAGAGATTTCAGCAAGATGTCGATAAAATCAGAGCTAGGATCAGGGTTGAACTGAGACAGTGGGCCTCCATGGCAGACTAATGCATGTATACCTCTTCTTTCCATATTTGCTAAGCATTTATTTAGTGGGTAGAAGGATTTCCTGTTAGCAAAAGTTACATATTGAAACAGATCCATTCACTAAATCATTTCTACTAGCCAAAGCATACTTGACACCTGAAAAAATAAAACAGCTACTTTCTTGTTCTCTCTTCAGTTATAGCCTGAAATTTNGCAGCCCAGCTCCAGGTTGAGCTGTTGTTCAGCATCTTAGCTGTGGAGGGCAGTGTCACTGGCCCTCATGTGGGATCCGAACCGGGCCCTCTGGCATCCCAAGCCATCACGCCACTCGGCCAGCCCTCAACCCATTTTCTTAAAGTTAACACACTAAGTCGTGGTTCACGCCTTAGTGCGGTTTGTTTGGAACTGATGTATTTGAGTTGTAGTTGAAAGGTGAGGAAGACTTGATGATATGGGTCTTGACTTTGGAGTGGAATCCATCCCAGCTCTATTGCCTACTAGTTCTGTTGCCTTGTGTAGCATCATTGGGTGTTTAGCTATTTGTTCATTCACTCAGTGAACATGAACATCTCCCCTCGAAATGTTTTGTGGCAAAGAAAGCTGCATTAGGAAGGTAGCTCTAAGGATAATCAGGGTTGAGAAGTATTTTTTGATGTTCATGTACTGAGAGGAAGGTCACAGAGATAGAGATAGTGGAGACTTAAAATAAAGATGAAGATGAATAAGGAGATTTAAGATGATGATTTGATTAAACCAGTGTCTGAAGGACACATGAGATGGAGGCAAAAGTTCAAATGAGAGCGCTACCCTTAGGAATAAGGATGGGCCTCCTATGTGTTCTATACGCAGATGTGCTGTGATACAGCTGATGGATGTTGGTGTCCTTTTCAAAGGTGAGATGGACACATATTTCAAGGTATCAATTAAACTGTTCCTTTTTATTTTTCACCAATAAATTAGCCCTCAAGATTTACAAACTTGCTGGGCCGGCCGAGTGGCACGATGGTTAAGAGCTGGCTTGGGATGCCAGAGGGCCCCGGTTCGGATCCCACACATGAGGGCCAGTGACACTGCCCTCTACAGCTGAGATGCTGAACAACAGCTCGACCTGGAGCTGGGCTGCCATGAGTCGC